CTTGCTGGGGTCGTTTGAGCCCAGTACTCTTTCCTGCCATGGCAGGGGGTCGGACTTGATGATCTACTCAGGTCCCTTCCGACCCTAACTATGAAACTATGAAACAACAGGGGATCCATGAGGGGCCCTATCCTGCCCTGGTCCCTTCCCCACCATCTGCCCTGAGGCGCATGTGCCAAGCAAAATGCCTTTGCAGAATGCCACACTCTGGTACCCATGCTGGGGGTTGCCTAGCCCTGATTTAAACTCTGCTCAGGGTGACCACCAACACAGACGTGACACCCGAACCTGCTACGTGTAATGCAGGGAAACCACAGCACCAACATCCTGCTTCTACGTAATGTCAATAAAGGCTCAAGACACCGGGGTAGAGGGCCCACCTTCCCACCCCCCCAGTTGGTCCCCATCTGACCAGGGGTTAAATTCTTTCCTGACTCCAAATGGTCCTGGCACATTTCTCTTTTCTTCTCCTATCCTGCCTTTTCCTTCCCCCCTTTTTTTCCTATCCTTTCCCCCCTTAATTTTTTGTGACAAATATGTGCATAGTTGATACATAGTTGATACATATATGTGCATATGAATGTGTGTATGTATGATTGTGCATGCATCTGTGCAAGGCTGTGTGCATGTTTGTGTGTACATGCATTTGTGTGCATGTATGTGCATGCTTGTGTGTGTGCATGTGCATGCTAATGTGTGTGTGCTATGCATGTGCATGTCCATGCTTATGTGTGTTGGTATGTTGTGTGTGTGCATGTGCATACTTTTGTGTGCCTGCATATAATGTGTGCATATGCTGCCTTATATGTCTGCATGTATGTGTGCATGTACATGCGTGTGTCTGCATGTGTGCTATGTGTGTGCATGCTAATATGTGTGTGCTATGTGTGTGCATGTGCATGCTTGTGTGTCTGCATGTGTGCTGTATGTGCATGTGCATGCTAATGTGCCTGTGTACGCTGTGTGTACATGCTAATGTGTGTGCATGCTAATGTATGTGTGCATGTGTGTGGTTATGTGTGCGCTGTGTGTGCGCATGTGCGCGCTTATGAGTCTGCATGTGCATGCTAATGTCTGCATGTGTGCGTGTGCATGCTAATATGTCTGTGTGTGCTGTGTGCGTGTGCATGCTAATATGTCAGGTGTATGCTGTGTGTGCGTGTGCATGCTAACGCGTGCGCATGTGCATGCTAACGTGTGCATCTGCATGTGTACCGTGTGTGTGCATGCACATCCACGCGTGCGTGCACCGCTGGAAACCCCGGCCGCCGGGGCCGG